CCATGGTGATCTTTAGAAATAGCCCCCATGTACCAGACGATAGTGACCTTCTCCCCTACCCCCCTTGGATGCCATGTAGATCTAACTTAAATTTCTTAAGAGCAATGCATCCAGTAAGGTTTCTTTCCGAAAAGACACATAAATGACAACTCTGACTAAGATCATATAAAAGAGGAATTTGTTAGGGGGTCATTGAGAGGATTGGGGAATGAGAGGGAAGCTGGAAAACCTGGTTTAAAATGGGATGGGAGCCCTGGCCGGTGTGGCCCAGTGGTTAGAGTGTCGACCTGCCCACCAAAGTGTCGCGGGTTAGATTCCTGGTAAAGGGCATGAACTTGGGTTGCAGGTCCCATCCCTGGCCCCGGTCAGGGCATGTGTGGGAGGCAACCAGAGGATGGGTCTCTGACATTGATGTTTCTCTCTCCTTCTCTCCCTCTCCCCTCCCTCCTTCCCTTTCACTCTCTCTAAAAAGTCAATGGAGAAAATATCCTTGAACGAGGGTAAACAACAACAGCCCGGCCGGGCGTGGCTCAGTGGTTGAGCATCGACCTAGGATCCAGGCGATCGGGGTTCGATTCCCCGTCAGGGCACATGCCCGGGTTGCGGGCTCGATCAATGACTCTCTCATCATTGATGTTTCTCTCTCTCTCTCTCCCTCTCTTGTTCTCTCTCTGAAATCAATAAAGATATATTTAAAAAAACAAAAACAACAATGACAACAAAAATAGGACGGGAGGTGTCGCGGACATCGGGCGAGCGTGCTGTGGGAGGACAGGCTTCAGGGGCCTCAGACACCCGGGCACAGCTTGCTGCTGGAACAACGGACTCTATTTCTTGTGAGTCTTGAGACAACGAGTCTGCTTGTCCAATTGCGGGTCATCTGCCCTCCCAGGGGCTGTCCAGATGGAGAAAGAATAGTTTTGATGGAAGGAGACTTGGGGTCCTTCCACCTGGACATAGAAAGCGTGGGACTTCAGTAGTGGGGGGAAGGACCTCATGCTTTACAATGTCAGGGAATGGGCAAGAAGTGAGCGTGAGTGTGGGGAATGAGGGAGTGAGAAGGAAATGGGTGGAAGACAACTAGCACAAGCGGGAGGTGAGGCAGGGTTTAAATTTGGGCAATGGAGGAGAGACCAGGGGGAAGAAAGGGCTTAAGAGGATGACTGGCTGGCAGTTTCTGTTTGTCTGTCCCCCCTTACTCAGTAGGTTCTGAGCCATCACGTCCTGCCGAATATGTTTGGGCAACTCTGAGAATAAAAGGTTGTCTATTTCCAAGTCTACCTTCTGGCCTGAAGACCCTCTCTTCAGAATGCTGACCTCTGCTCTCAAATCTGAAATCTCATCTCAGTATCATTTTGTTCCCAGTATTTTTAATCCAAAGTCATTTTTCTTCTGATAGAGCAGCAAGTAGTGTTCATCTTTTTAATGAAATGTAATTTCAGAAGCAGGCCATTCCCCTTGATTACAAGCAAAATGAAACCTAATATTAGTTTGGACTTATGTTACTGTTAATATTATTTACTTTCTGGAAACAGACTAACCCCCAATTAGCATTGTGAATTGTCTGCCCTGGAATGACCAGATAGTCCATTTTATTACATTACTGAAATCATTTGCATAGTAATTACTGTTTAGCTCTTTTGGTAATTGGACTTGCTTTCCTCCTGGTAACATACAGTGGGCTCCCCTCAATCACGTGGAGCTTCGCCAGATGGCAGAATTGAGGAAGAGCACTCCCACCAAACCCACGGTCATTTCAGGTCTGAAACCAGTGTCTCAGTTTGCTCCATCTTTGTCTCTCTAATGTTTCTTAGTTTCTAAACCACTTGTGCAACAGAAGAACAATCTGAACTGCAAATGTGATTGGTCTAGGGAAACTTCATTTAAAATTTCAGCAGTGTGAATTACCTATCCTGTCCCCCTCCCTTCTCTACATTGCTCCCTCCTCCAACATGACAAATGACACCGGAAAGGAAATGTCACAGGCTATCAAGGAAATTCAGACATCTCTCTCTCTCTCTCTCTCTCTGTCTCTCTGTCTCTCTCTATTTCTATCTCATCTGCTTTAAGTAAACTAGATGTAGTATAGGGAAATCTGAGTTTGCATAACAAAACACAATAAAACTAGAAACTTAGCCTTCACCTTACAAAAGGAGTCTTTTAAAAAATGTCTTTGATTCCCAAGTGCCTTTGCTTCAGTTAAAATATCCTTTAATCTCTAAAGTTTCAATTTTAAAAGAAAGATTAATAAAACAATCGAAATTTATGTACACAGACACACTCACACACACTCACAGATGCATACACATCACCTAGACAGCATCGGAGGCAAGATAGTACAATGGAAAGAATGCAAAGAGCCAGGCAGAGCTGGCCCATTCTTGACCATGATTGCATCTAAGTTATTCTGTCTATCTGATCATTAGTTTCATCACCTGCGAAACCTATCAGTTTTAGTTGGGATACAGGTTGAACTCCTGTAGAGAGAGCCAAAAAACCGTGTATTAGATGAGACATAGGGATATTATGTCCCTCACATAACAGCAAAGTCAGAGACCCAGGCTCCCTCTATCTTGTTGTTCCGCATCCCTGGGTAAGGGGAGCAACTTTGTCCACAAGACCCAGGACAGGTCACCACCACACCTACATTCCAGCCCATAGGAAAGGGAAGGTGAGGGTGCACCTCTACCTTTTAACAGCCTGCCTGGAAGCTGCATAAGTCACTTTTGTTCACATCTGTTAGAGAGAATCTGGTTATGTAGCCATATCTAGCTGCAAGGGAAGCTGGGTATTACACCTTTACTTTGGTTGTCCATGTGCTCATTTGAAACTAGAGAGAATTCTATTACCAAGAGAGGAGGGTTAGATACTGGGGGTGAAGAGCAATCTGTCACCCATGTTACACTGTGGTGAAAAGTTAGAGGAAGGAGAAAGAGATGGTACTAGATTCATCTGTATTTTGTTTTTAATTGGAAAATGAGAGCATTTCCCAGAAGCCTTCTTCAACCCCAGAAGACTTCTAATTACATGCCAGAACATTGCCACGTGGCTACATCAAACTGTGGAGGGAGTTAGGAAAGTGAACAGGTAGCCTTCCAACCATGGACATGGAAAATGAAAAAGGAGACGGGACATGAAAGTAAATACTGGATTCAATAAACAAGTGTCTGCCAGAGTGTAGCAGAGAGGTTAAATAACTTGTGCTGTGTCACACAGCCATCCAGACTGACACCTGCTGACTTCCACAGTGTGTGCTTTTACTGAATCACTGGCCCCAGTCAGACTCTGTGACAATCCATGGCAATGCCTTATGGGGAAACAAATGGACAAAACGAGCCCTAGCGGCCATTCATCCCATAGCCATGGAGTCGTGTTATGGAGTTTTCCATGAAGAGACCCCAAGAGCAGGTGCACGAACTGGTTTAGACACAAGTACTGGGATGGGCGTGTTCAGCTCTCCAAGGCATCTACCCCTCATCAGTTCTCCCTGGCCTGACTTCCCAAGCCAAGGTGAAGGTTGTCAGGATTCAGAAGAAGGGGAAGCTTAGGTAGAAAATAATAGTTGACATTTATGAGCACTTAACATCAGGCCCTGTTATGAGAGTTTTACGTTTTGTCTTATATAATCCTCATAATCAACCGTATGAGGTAGAAACTATCATTATTCCAATTTTTAGGGAAAAGAGACACAGGTCACTCAGGGTCAGGCAGCTGGTACACGGCGGAGCTGAAATTCCAACCCACCATCTTAGCCACATATCTTGATGCTGCCCACATGGGATAATGCCAGGGGGTCTGAGAAGCTGTCCCTGTCGTGAATATCACCTCCAGCTTCTCACCAGGTCCTGAACCTCCTTCAATAGCATACAAAAGCTGCCATGTCCCAGTGATAGGATTTTATATTGCCTTTAAATTTCCTAGTGTGATTTAATTCTCAAAGCAAGTAGAAGTAGGTGTGGCCAGAGTTATGGTAATCTGAGTACAATTAAGCCCATTGTAGAGGATGGCACAGGTAATAAATAGATAATGAAACAGGACTGAAACCCAGGTCACTTCATTCTGGGCTCAGTGCACTTTCTACTCTAACACAGCAGCTGAGGCGGCCAAGGCTTGAATGCAAATGCCCACGTGGAGAGACAATACAGACGGGTGTAAACTGACGTAGGAGGGACCCACATCAGAGTGGGAGTCAGGGAAAGACCAGACACGGAGTCCAAGAAAAGAGGGAAGCGAGGAAGCAGGGGGAGGGGCTGCTGGGGAGGCTGTAGACAGACCACCGACGTCTAACCTTGGCTGGACAGACGCCTGGATCGGGATGGCAAGTGTCTCGCTTCTTGCCTCCTTACATACACATGACAAGCACAGTTAACCAGCAGGGCTGGGATCCCAGCACAGCCATCCACACACGGCTCCAGGCAACCACTACCGGTCCATGTTGTCATGTGAAATGCCACCTAGGTGCCATTCCTAGTCTGAAGGGTCAAAAACAAAAACTTGCCATTTTTGTCAAGAAAGGAAGAGATCCTGGTACACCCTGAGAGTACATGAGCATTTTACTACAATATCTTAGTCTCAGTTTCCTCGTTTATAAGACGGTGATAATACTTACTTTAGAGGGGTGTTGAAGAAATTAATACCCACAGTACTTGGTTGTTTGCTACTATTATTAACAGTTCTAGTTACTGAGTGATGACTGCTTCCCAGCAAAATCTGTAAGTACAGGATTCATTCTCTAATTTGGTTCTCAATATAGAGCCAATTAGTTCATTCATTCACACACTTATTCATTCATGGGTTACTGAGTGAGTGCCTCCCAAGTCACAGGCACCTTGTTGACATAGGAAATACAACGGTGAACAGACTGGTTGGGGTTCAGTGACTTTCCTACAGTCAGCCTCATGGGGATACAAGTGTGTAGCAGAGCACAAGCAAAATCAAACCTAGTGTTATTTGGACTTATGTTACTGGTAATATTATTTACTTTCAGGATTTTTCCTTACCCTTTGGTGTCGGTGACTTGGGCTGAAGACAAAGAGATACAGAGCACACCTCGTTCTAAGACAACTGCCAACTGTTGATCGGGGTCTCTTAGCTCCTGCAAGAGAATACAGAGAGGTGGGCAAAGCGGGCCACACCACTCACGACCGCTCACCCAAGTCCGTCGGCCTTGTTAGGGGGGAAAACTTCCCTCCTCCATGAGCCCAACCAGAGGACGCTTGTAAAAACCCACCTGCAGGGATCAGAGGTGTCTGCATGAGGACCGGCTGCCACCTAGATCCCCTGCCACCGCCTGCAGACCCCCCAGTGCTGCCATCAGGGCAGTGAGTTCTTGGGAGAGCATGACATGTCCCCTGGAGACACACAGGATCAAAGATCCCACTAACTGCTCTTTGTTTCTACATTGCTGAAGGCAGGGGGCTCCCTGGCACCCTCTGCACCAGCAGGACAAGGACCTGGGAAGAAAGGAAACGAGAGGAGCACCTACTGCAGTTTCCTCAGAGGGTGACCCTGAGGGTGCAGAAGAGGAATGAACCTAGGGTCCTTCAGGCTCCATATGAGGGAAACAGAAGTTGGAGGAAAAGACAGGAGCAGAGGGGCTCCCCGGGTGGTCAGTAAGGGGACACCTCATTCAGAAAGGGGGCTGGGCATCGCCCGAGTGCCACCCCCTCCAGCAAGGATCTCTGCTCCTCTGTTTCCCAGCACCCTCAGGAGAGGGAGGGGAGACCGAAAAGACGGAGGGAAGGGGGTTGTGCTACAGGACCGACGGCACCTCTCCTCCCACTCTCGGGTCTGAAGAAAGAGTAGATGATCCCTGTCTTCTTTCCTGGTCCCTTAGGTTGCCATGACAGTGCCTGAGTGGGGGGCCCTGAGGAGGGTGTGGAGGCAGGACGGAATTTAAACGGTGTTTAAGTCTGCAGTTTTAAACTGGTCAGGACATTTAATAACTGAATATGTCTATAGAGTTATGAAATCTGCCCCCGATTTTCCTAAACCATGTCAAAGGACATTCTAAAGAGTATAAGTGTAGGCAATGATTACAGAAAAATAGGTGTTTCAGGTTCCCACGTTTACATCCACCAGGAATGATACTTCCAGTGACCGGGGTATGTTGAGTTTCTGCAAAACGGAGCATCCCCTGTAGGTGGAGCTGTAACCTTTTCCAGAAAGTATTTTGAGCTGGGAGGAACCTTAGAGCACTGGGAGGCAAATCGGCCTGCTTTTGGGGATTACCCGGGAGAATGTAAAAGTGTGGGTTCCTGAGAGCCGGAGTTTCAGAGATTCCAGGTCAGGAGGACTGCAGTGGGCTCTGGCGCTGGAAGCCGAGTGGGCCCCAGGCTGCGTTTGAGATCACTGCCCCCAGAGGGCTGCCAGCACTCCTGGGTGGCCCCTGGGTGGCCCCTGGGAGACAGGTCACCGTCTCTGCCTGCTGAGTTTGCTTACCACTCCCTGAAGTAGCGGGATTTCTTACTTGTGTCTCTTCACAAGACCAAACACTATCCTCAAAAACCTGATGTGCTCGATTTCAGGTTCCTAGAAATCAGGGCCACCTCTTCTCTTTGGGTAAAACCCTACCATTCGTGTTTGGGTTTATAACAAAAGAAAATGCGAGACCCCAGAGACTGAGGACAGCCAAGGAGCTTTGTTCGCCTTTTAGTTCTTGTTAAATCAAACTTCAGAATCTGCACTGTTCCTGCTTCCTACCAGAAGCTGGGGTGGGACGGTAGAGAACATATTTTTGTATTTCTACAAGGTTAGGGCTTTCTGAAAAGGTAAACCTGGGACTTGGACTGAAGAACCAGCCTAGGACATTAAAGTGTGACTGAAGAGCCCAGAGACCTCAGGAAGGATTTAGAGATCTTCTCTCCATGTGTTTATATCTCAAAAGGGAAGAAACCCTTGGTTACAAATTCCAGTTTGTCCTATCTCCTTCCTGGAGACATTCATTTATATTCCAAAGGGTAAACATCCAGGAAGTTTCCCTTCTCTCCCCAGAGGGAACACATATACGTTGAGATTAGGTTTTTCTCCCTGTCTCTTGTGTGGAGGGGCATTATGTATACTAGCCCCCAGCTTCATGCTTTCAGGGTTCCTCCGTGTGGTGTGAGTATCTCCTTCTGTATGTGCCGGCGTGGCTCTCATTGCACCACCCTGAAGGGGGCACGCTGGGGACCTGGGGAATGGATGCGTTATTGTAGTAAGTAAGTAATAATGATTGTCATGATCCGAAAACCCCATGTTCGCCTTCAGGGTAATATAAATAAATACTGATATTAAGAGCTTATCAGCTGGGAGTCTGAGAGTGCTCTCTTTCTCTCAGCCATGGGGGCAAACAGCAGAGGGTTGTCTCGGCTTACAGCTGAGCCTCTGTGTACACAATGATGGAAGGTCTGATGTAGCAGTGAGGTGGTGGAACGGAGACATGTTCTAACTCCTTCTGTTTCAATCAGCAAAGAAATAAAGGACCTGCAGTAATATTTAATTACTATCTTTTTTTTTTTTTACATTTTTTGGCATTTTGTGTTTGTCATACATACCATATAGGGGTGTGCTGGTATCTATTTAACAACCAGTTCTCTGGAAATGGGGCAGGGGTGGGGGATGGAAGCCCAGATTTGTAGTGTTTGCCAATATCTGTGGTGTAAACACTCCCACCATGGTTGATTATAGGCTGCCAAAGTGTGTCAACCAGCTTGCAAAATTCCTAAAAATTGAACAATAGGCTCTGTCAAGCTTGTATCAGCCAACTGTTCCACACCACTGGCATACGGCTAAAACAAAACAACAAAATGAAATGAAACATATACATCAAAAGAGTAACCAATAAAGGAGAATTCCCAATAACATACGTAGATCACCTGCCCTTCAAAAGTTGGAGCTTAGCAAAAAATTACAATATGCTTATGTACAGTCGACACCAGGAGGTAGGCCTTAAGGAGATCTGAAAGCGGTGTAAGACATCAAGTAATGATAAAAACAAATATCTAATAATAGGGGAATTACTCTATAAATTGTGGCACTTTTTACTACGAAAAAAAAAGAGTTGGAGTTTAGTTGCTACACTCTCTCTTCCCCCTCCCCCACTATTGAGAGTAGGCTATACTCAGTGACTCTTCCCAAATAATAGCACAGGGAAAGGAAAAATAGTACTTTTACAGTGGAGAAGTTTGGCAAACACCGCCTTAAACAGGTGAGTGATGAAAGTTACCTTTACCGTGTCATAGGATGTGATGTCAATCAAGTATCATGCACCCCCTAATTTGATGTAATGAGAAAGGTAATTCACATCTGCATGTTTGTTCAAAAACCCCATAACCTCAGGCTAATCATGCGGAAAAACATCAGGCAAACCCAAATATCTGATCAGTCTTCCTCAGGACTCTCAAGGTCATGACCACCAAGGACAGACTGAAACCTGCCCCAGACCAGACCAGAGGAGACTGGGGAGATGTGACAACTGAAGGCGGTGTGGTATCCTGAGTTGGATCCTGGAACAGTAAGGAATACTAATAAAAAATGATGAAATAAAATTGAAGTCTGGGGTTTAATAATCGCAGCATACCAATGTCAGTTTCTTTGTTTTGACAAATAACCTTGGAAATGTAAGATGCTGACAGTGAGGGAGACTGGCTGAGAGGTGTACAGAATTCTATACAATATCTTTGCAACTTTTCTGAAATGTAAAATTATTGTAGCCCAGCCAAGCGTGGCTCAGCGGTTGAGCATCGACCTAGGATCCAGGCGATCGTGGTTCGATTCCCGGTCAGGGCACATGCCCGGGTTGTGGGCTTGATCCCCAGTCGGGGGCATGCAGGAGGCAGCCGATCAATGACTCTCTCATCATTGATGTTTCTGTCTCTCTCCCTCTCTCTTCCTCTCTCTGAAATCAATAAAGATATATTAAAAAATTATAAAATAAAAAGGTTTATTGAGATTTTTAAACATGCAAGTGTTAGGCGGGGGATAGACAGAGCACAGAGGATTTTTAGGGCGGTGAAGCTATACTGTACCATACTATAATGGATACATGTCATTACACATTTGTCCAAACCCACCGAATGTACACCACCAAGAGTGACCCTAATGTAAACTACGGACTTTGGGTGATTACGGTGTGTCAATGTGGGTTAATCAATGGTGACAAATGAACAGGATGGTGCAGGGTGTTGATAGCTGAGGAGGCTGGGGGTATATGAAAACTTTCTACTTTATGCTCAGTTCTGCCATGAACCTAAAACTGCTCTAAAATAAAGTGTATTTAAAACGACACACAGGAAAGCATGCTTTCTAAACTGAAAGGACTTCTAATGTCATTGTATGTTCCCTCCCTCATGGTAGGTGGGTGGTCGAGCTCTCTGAAGGGCCAGCTTCCTTGTTGTCTTTGTTCTCATGTCTGGCTGTTTTTTCCCCCTGAGAAGAGAAAATGCTGATTCTCAGGGCTCCCGGGCTATATGGAAACTTTTCTTCTGAAGGCCTTTGGTAACTCCTTCATTTTTTAAAGGAAATTCCTTAAGTTAAAAGAGCCCGTTCTTCTTCTTGCATTCTTTCAGGTATTTACAGAATGTATTCATTCTTTATGTGAAGAGGAGTTTAGGCATTCATGTCCAATTGTTTGTGTGTTTATAAATCTCATGTTACCATCGGCTATATAATAAAACCACTCAATTTCAAATCATTTCGACGAGGTTATCTCAACTATCTGTGATGTGAGAGAAAGTAAGAGCCAATTTCTTGGAGATTTAGCTTCTTTAAGTTCCCAGAGAAACTAACAGAAAGTGCAATGCACACGCATCTCCACCCCACGACAAGCAGACAGTATTTCATGTTGAATTTGGTGAGAACTTGGACAATCTGACCTGTGCTTGACAAGGAGAAAAAGTGAGGCTTAGCCACCTGCTCAAGGTGACGCGATTAGTGACAAAGGAAAGGCCCTGAGCGTTTTCCCTTTCCCAGGGCTCCTGCCTTTACCTGCAGCTGTTCCAAGTGCCTTAGAACAGGAGGAAGGAGCCCAATAAATGCCTCGGAGTGACGCTGGGAAGGAAAATGAATGTACCG